GTGCTTTGCAAAATAGACGTGTCAACTGATGTGTTTAGTCAAGGAATTAGAAAAATCTCTTTTTTTAAATATATTGCTATCCTATTTGACCTGATCTAATTTAATCTATCATAATTTTATTTATTTAATAATCCTCTAATAAATTGAGACCGATTATAATTTTAATTTAAAAAAAAAGTTCATTTGACAACAAAATTAAATCCTTTCAGCATTTCATATCATGTCGCGGGAATTGTATAACAAATTAATATTTTTTTCATTTGGCGAAATGGACGATTCGGTGAAATGGATTCGACAAAATGCACTTTCGGCGAAACGTCCCTTCGGTGAAATATCCCTTCGGTGAAATGGCTTCGGCGAAATGTACCGTAACCCATATTTAGAAATAAATGACCAAGACAAAGAAATAGCAGGATTTTTAAACACAAATGAAGTTTTTGGAGGCTTTATTAGAGGAATTATATTGGTTTGTTTGGGAATACAAAAAAACCAGATAATCGAAGAAAGGGACAAAAAGAAAGCGTTATTGGAATTAAAATATACAGAACAAGAACAAATAATATGACAAGAAGCTATCACACAGTAACAAAACGAATTGGTAAGATACAAGACTGAAATGGAGTTTAAAGATAAAGAGTACTATAGCAAAATAAACCCAAAAAAATACTCGGAAAAAAAATATTGTGAATATATATGCGATTCACATGCCACACAGCCCATATTTAGGTTTTATTTTAGCATAGATATTTTGTATATTCTGAAATCAATAGGGTTTGGTCAAAAAAAAAACATAATATTTGGGATGGAAAATTAACGTAAATGGTTATTAGTTACCCGTTTGAGGTTTGGATAACGCTGATCTAATTAATTAGTCCGAAGCAAAAATGCGTTGTTCCGTGACAATAAAACTTGTGTAACATCTAAACGGCACCTCAGTTATAGATTGAAACATTTCGCGTCAATAATTCGTCAGGTTTCTTTTAATTTCAAAAAGTTGGTTTTTTAAATTAAAATTTTTTTTTTCCCTTAAGGCCTAATCTTTCCAAATTGTTAGCCAGTTATAATTTGAGTATAATTAGCAAGATTTAATCCAACCCAACAACACAGTTAAATTTCTACAAAAAAAAATATGTGTTGTAATGACCCGCCACCATATAATGCCGCGACATGTGCACGGACTGGTTGTCAGAATCCCTGTCTTTACGATAACAGAGCAACTTACCTTTTCTGTAGCGTTGCTTGTGCTACGCTTTATCAAAGGGACATGGCGCTAACAAGGTGCAGAAATCCCGCTTGCCTAAGACAATTCTGCAATGACTTGGCTAATACGTGTCCCTATTGCGCTAATCCTGTATCTATTCCGGTACCGGAAGATTCTGTAAGTTAAATGATACATTTACTTATTTCGCAATTTTGGCTTACCTTAACAAATTATTAATACGCTATAAATATTTACCCTGTTTTTAGCCTTTGTTGCCACCTCAATCGTAAGTATTTTTTAAATGAAAAGTATTAAAATCTTTTTATTTGAAATCAGTTTTTTTTTTGATAATTACTTTTCTTTTATTATTATTAGTAATAATGAAAGTAGTCCCCGTAAATGTATTTTAATACTATTAATTATTTTATTGTTCATATGTTATTCCACCTATAAATTCTATTTTTAATGACGAAGTTATCATTAATTTTTCTTTTAATCATATTTGAAAAATATAATCACAAGATTGTATTTAGAACTAGATATAATTAATTAATTCATTTAATTCCTTTTGCCAAACTTCTGACTTAATAACTAGATTTGAAAAAAAGGTCACGTCTATAATAAATTTACATAGTAATATAATTATATATAATCTTCAATTCCACTAAATGTTGCGGGCTTCTTCTCTGTAACCAGTGACAAAAACGCGTTTAAAAATTATATTTGGTAAATTATGTTGTACAGTACAATTTGGTATAATATAATATATTTTATTATATAATAAAAGTGAATGATGATTTGTCAGTTAATCATATCCCAAACACATTTATAATATCAGGTGCATTTTTAAAAGTGCGTCTAGGATAACTCCAATGAAACGGACCAGAAAAGTCATCATTAATTATCACAGGTTGAGACAAGTAAGATGACGCGTCAAAATTGTGTAGCCTTTCGGCAAAGCTGCAGAGTCATTGGGCGATTAATTAAATGTGCATTGCGAACAAGTCCGCCGAGAATCTTTATACCCGATAATTTTTCGGCTGGATTCCAATTAGAGACGGGTTGATGTTGTCGTGCTAACTTATTATCTTATTTGGAGGGTCGCGTGATTGTTAAACCAACAGGTTGTATCTTTAATCCAGAACTATTCGTTTAATTCCACACCAAATATTATCTCTTCTATGAAGCTAATTCCTTTAAAGATAATCCATGTCTTCTCCACTTTTACTACCCAATTTTTTAAGCTACTTCTAATGTTTTTGTTCAGCTAAGGCTAGTGAAACATTATGTGATATTCCTTCACAGACGCGCGTCTTCATTACTAATGAATCCATCGTATACTATATATGTAACGTAATCATACCGTGCAACATTGCTCCAATTAAATCAACAAAATCACTTTCATCATAATCTTATGCACTGCGATTTACATTAACACCTAAAGGATGATAAAAAAAAGAAACTGAGTTCAATAAAATATTAAAAAATTTTAAATTTTAAACACACTAACCAAGCAAACCTCTATCGGTCCTTTTTTGAGATAATTCCACTTATAACCTTTTCCCAACATAAACTTTTACATTTATATTTTTTCGTAAATGTATCATATTAAATAACCAAGTACTGTGACAAAAAATGAAGGATACTTAAATAAATCAGGAAAATTGATGAAATAACGCGTTAAAATTTGAAAAATTTCAAGTCGCGCATCACCAAGTTTTTTTGCAAGGAAGTTGAAGTTCGACCGTTTTTATATGAATAACAATTGTGTTACATTGTAACTCCAGTTTAGGAATCCAGTCAGGTGCTTCGCAAAAATGGTGTTTAGCCGTGTTAGCCGTGTCAACTGATTGTAATGTATGAACATCGGATATACAAAAATAATCAATGAGAGTCAAAAAAGGTGGGGGGGTTAAACAAACTTCTTTTAATGGTCCTAGAATTAGGTAAAATTTAGTAACTTATTTGATCTCTAATCTAATCTAAATCAAAATATTCGTAATAATATTTACGAATATTTATTACACGTAAAAATAATATTTTATCTTTCATTATTAGTAATTAGCTTTCTTATCAAATTGTAAACTTTTAATTATACAAGTATTACCGGTTACAAAAAAGTTCATTTTAATTTAAAACAACAAAAATTAAATCAATAATATGTTGTATAACAAATTACCTAAAATATTTTTTTTTTATATTTTAGGTTTTATTTATTATATAGTTCGTTTTGAAATTGTTCTTTGAAGATGGATGAAATATTAACATAGTTAGTTAAATTTTTTTAGTTATTTATTCTTTGAAATTCTAAAATTTCATCATTCATGAAATTTTCCCTTTTTTAATCTTATAATATTAAAATTTAATATCATCAAATTAACAGTTTGAAATTTGGAACGTTTAGCCTATTTATTGTGCTAACTACTTTTTGCCTACCATTTGATTTAATCTAATCTAAATCTAAAATGTCGTAATTCTATTTATAAATAGAAGCAGTATGGAAGTATTACACGTCAATAATCCGTCAGGTTTCTTTTAGTTCCAAAAATTCGGTGTTCTTTTATTTTATTTGATTTTTTTTTCTCTTAAGGCTTAGACTACCAAATTGTTAGCCAACTATAAAATTAAAATATAATTATCATTAAATAAAAAAGACGAGTTTTAAATAAATAAAAATGAGTTATAATGATGCTTCTATTTACCCACCACCATATAATGCCGCGGCATGTGCACGACCTGGTTGTCAAAATCCCTGTTTTTATGATGACAGAGCAAATTACGTTTTCTGTAGTATTGCTTGTGCTACACTTTACCAAAGGGACATGGCATTAACAAGGTGCAGAAATCCCGCTTGCTTAAGACAATACTGTAATGACTTGGTTAATACGTGTCCTTATTGCACTACAAGTATATCAATTCCTGTATCAATTCCGGTACAGGAAGATTCTGTAAGTTAATTAATGATATAATTTATATTATTTCGCAATTTTAAGGCTTATCATAATAAATTATTAATATGGTACTTTTTTTTTTTTAGCCTTTATTGACACCTCACTCGTAAGTACTTTTTTTAAATTAAAAGTATTAAAATCTTATTTGAAAATTAGTAATCATTACTTACTTTTCTTTTTCTTTTATTATTATTAGTAACAATGAAGGTGATCCTTGTAAATGTTTTTTAATGATAATTATGTTATTGTTCATATATTTCATCTATAGATTCATTTTAGTTGATGAAGATAGTGACCAGAATATTATCGTTGATACCATTTAATTAAAAATAACAAGAAATACAAGATTTTATTTTCACAACTTTTTTTTAAAAAATATATTTACAATATTATAGTTTAGATCTAGATATAATTAATTCATTTAATTCCTTTTCACTAAATTTCAGACTTAATAACTAGATTTGACTATTAACCGATATAGATCACGAACAATTCGTATTATTATTGCTGTTTATTTTATGTGATTAAATAATAATAAAAAAAAAGGTCACGTCTACGACCAGTTCGGGGAAAATTTTCATAGTAATATATTTAATATATATGTAATCTGGAATAATACATTCTTATAATATAAGACTAATAACTTACCATGAAAGTTAATAAAAAAAAAATGTTAAAAAATATAAATAAACTAAACCTTCAATTTCAGTACGAATCCAGTTATGGGATACAGACCTATTTTCATTATATGTAACTAGTGACAAAAAACGCGTTTCCTATTATACTATTTATACTATATAGCATATAGTACCCTATAACATAATATACTAATAAAAGTAAGTGATGCATCAATTTTTCAAATAATCACATCCCAAACATATTATAATATCAGGAGTATTTCTAAAAGTGCATTTAGGACAATCCCAATGAAATGGGTCAGAAATTAAATCGTCAACATCAGGTTCAGGCAAGTAAGATGACGTGTCATTATCGGGTGGTCTTTCAGTAAGACAGACATCACATTGCGAAGCCATTGGACGATTTATAAATGTGCATTGTGAACAAGTCCACTGAGAGCCTATTGGAGATGATTTTGATGTTGTTGCTTTAACATCTGGTCGCGTTGTTGTTGAACCAACAGTTGGTTTCTTTATCCCAGAACGATTTTGTTCACTTCCACACCAAAAATTATCTCTTGTTCTTCTTTCAGCTGCCATAGCAGCTAATTCCCTTGTAGGTAATCCATATCCTCCACTACTACCACCCAATCTTCTTCCACCATTTGTCATTATTCGTTCAGTCTTTCGTCTTTTTTCAGCTGCTTCTAATGCTTTTTGTCTAGCCAAGGCTGGTGAAACATTATGTGATATTCCTTCACCAACACGTTTTCCATCGCTAAAGAACCCTCCACCAGTAAATCCTTGAGTTAATAAAACGTCATATTCATCATTTAATTCATCAAGAAGGTTATAAAATGATGAATCATGTGGACCGAATTTAATATGTGTTAATCTAAAAAAAAAAGGTGAATTTTTTTAATAAAATGGGACAAATAACGTAAACACTATTTGTACTATAAATATGTACTCGTGCAACATTGTTTCGATTAAATGATCAAAATCATAAAATCGGCTTTGGTTATAATGCGGACGTAATCTTATACATATTTTTTGACCATGATTTACGTTAATACCTAAAGTACGAGTAAAAGAAAAGAAACGAGTTTTAATGAAAATTATAATAATAAGAAATTTTCAAAAAAAAAAAATACTAACCGAGTAAATTTGCTTGATCGGGTAAAAATTCTTCCAAAGAACCTACGCGCCAATTTCGATTGTTCATTATAGGTATTACCTAATAAGGTAAAATAGCAAAAATAACTTCATATTCATAAGTCGAATTAAAGAAAAAAAAAACGCCAATTAAGAAGAAATAATTGTAGACTTTGTTTTTTTCTTCTTTTTTTTTTTAATAAAAACCAATTTTTTTTTTTTTAAATAATAATAAAAACCAATTTTTTTTTTTTTTTAAAAAAAATAAATTTTATTGCAAGTTACATGAGAAGCTAGTTTTTTCAATAAATTTAAGGCTTCTTCATGGTTTGAAAATTGAGTAAGTGAACGAAAATTTCTAATTCGATCTTCTCCTATACTCATATTTTTGAGAGGATAAGTATTTCGGAGTGAAAACAAAGAAATAAAGTACGATTACATAAACTGAAAACAATGGTTTTTATATGTACCGATCTAACATGTGATCGGTGACTCGAAAATCATAATATAAATATCAGATCATTCCAAACTTTCATTATCATTCTTCTTTTTTTTTTCCCTCTTATCTATTATATTAATGTCTTTTGATATATTTTGGGATAAACTTGATAAACAAGTAGCACAAAAAGTTCAAGATATAATAAACGAACAATTTCGAACTTCAAATAATAAACCTTCTTTTATAGGTGATATAGAAATATCAGAATTTGATTTTGGTACGGTACCGCCGTCAATTGAAATTATTGATGTTACAGATCCTTTTCCAGAATTTTATTTGCCTGATAATACAGTTGTAGATGTTGATGCTAAATCTGACTTGTCAGAATCAGGTGGAAATGTGAATGGAGTTGGAAGTGGTGTAAGAAATGGAAATGGTGGTATAGGAGGTGGAATTGGAGTTGAAAGAGTAAGAACGAGAGAAAGTGTAGTTAATAGTGAACAACGAACGTTTCACCATAATAATTCATCGTCATCTTTTACTCGATCAAATCCGCTTAACAATAATAATAACAATAATAATAGGTCATCCCCATTTACACCACCGATAACACCTATTAATAGGTCATCATCATTTACAACTACACCAATAACACCTATTAATAGATCATCACCGTTTACAACTGCACCTATAACGCCTGTTAATAGGTCATCACCGTTTACAACTACACCTATACCGCCTATTAATAGGTCATCATCATTTACAACTACACCTATACCGCCTATTAATAGGTCATCATCATTTACAACTACACCTATAACACCTATTACGCCCATCATTTCACCATCAATTGTTACAGATTCATCAGTAGATTATTTAAATTATCAAAGGCAACAACAAAGATTACGAGAACAAGCAAGAAATGATGAGATTCCATTACATTTAAGAGAAGATTATAAAGATTACAATATTCAAATAGATGATCAAACACAATATGAACCTTCAAATTCGGAAGGAGAAGAAGTACCATTAAAACAAGATACTGATGCACAAATTCATATAGAAGTATCATATAAAGGAAATATGAAAATGGTTATTTGTACAGAATTATATATGAATTATCCTAGTTTAATGTTTATGAGTTTACCCGTTAGGTTGACTATAACTGGATTTGAATTTTCTGGTGATTATTATTTTTTAAATTGTTTGTAATTTTGTAATTTTTTTAAAGGAAGAATGATGATGGACATTGGTTTTTTCATTTTCCTTGTGAATTATAATTGGGATCTTTGGAATTATCCATTGAAATTATCTCTGTGAATTATCCATTGAAATTATTTCTGTGAAATTAACCTTGGAAATTATTTATTCTTGGAAATTATTCTTGGAAATCATTGAAATTATTGATAATTATTAGCTACAGCAGTTGTCGCGTATCTACGAAATCGAGTTAATTTTTGTTTTTTGGAACCAAAGAATCCCGAAGAAAGGTATCTATAAAGTGTGTATGTGTTTTTAAATTTAAAATGTATTAAAAAAAAAAAAAAAAATATTTTTTAAAAGTCATTTAAAAGAAGTTTATATCGAATCTGAAATAGGGGATAAAGAAAAACAAGGTTTATACAATAATAATGATCAATGAATTGTTTAGTTAACACATATATTATATATATTATATTAACTATATTAACTTTTTTTTTTATTAATACTTTTCTTTTAGTTTTGAAGAATGTTGGAAAATTAGAAAAATTTATTATTGATCAATTAAGAAAAATAATTGATGAAGATTTTGTATTTCCAAGTTATCATTCCATTGAACTATGATGATGATGTAAATTATGTATTATCAAAAAATTATTAAAGTAAGTTATTGTATTATAATTAATAATTAAATTAAATTAAATTAAATTAGATTAAATAAATTAAATTGATTAATACTAATTACTTATTTTCCGATCTCTTTTTTTTCAATTAAGGATTTATCTTGTGCAATACACCTATTTACAAAAAAAAGAAAAAATAATTAATTAAATATGATATATATTTAAGATGTATTAAAAAATTTGAAAGATACATTACTATCCAATATAAATGCAGTTAATCCCCAAATTTCAAATCCATTTGGTGCTTCAAATATCTAAAAAATAAATAAATAAATAAATAAAAAATATAGAATATTTTCAAACTTTTTCTTTTAAACAAAATATCTTCCATTCCCTTTTTTTAAATAATAAAATAAATACGTACGGGATATTTAAGTTTTGAATTACTAAACCTTCCCCATTTACTTTTATCATGATTTAATAATTCCTTTAAAGTAACGCTAAATACACCATATACTTCATCATGATTAAAATTAATTTTATTGATATCAATTGGATATTTAATAAATCCAACAAACGGATATATTTTCATTGTTCTGTCTTTATTTGGCATTGTTGAATCTCGTCCCAGTATATCAATTTGAGAAGGGGGGATACCTATCTCTTCATAAGTTTCCCTTAATGCTGTTGATTCCAATGAAGGATCTGTTAAATCTCTTTTTCCTCCGGGAAAACTATATAACAGGATTTGAATAGATTAATAAGATTGGGAAGAATAATAAGATTGGGAAACAAGCATTTAAATTTGAATAGTGAGATTAAGATGGGGAAACAAGTATTTGAATTTGAATAATGAGATTAATAAGATTTGGAAGAATAATAAGATTGGGAAAAAGCATTTGAATTTGAATAGTGAGATTAAGATGGGGGAAACAAGTATTTGAATTTGAATAATGAGATTAATAAGATTGGGAAGAATAATAAGATTGGGAAAAAGCATTTGAATTTGAATAGTGAGATTAAGATGGGGAAACAAGTATTTGAATTTGAATAATGAGATTAATAAGATTGGGAAAAGCATTAATGACGACCATAAGAAGAGATCGGATGAATTAATAAAATGATTTTCGATTTGATTTAATTTTCGATTTGATTTAATTTTCGATTTGATTTGATTTTTAGAGTAATAAAATTTTTATACGATACCTTACTTCACCCGTATGAGTTTTTAAATGCATACTTCTTATCGTAAACAATACACTTGGTTTACCATTCACAACGCAAAGAGGCTACATAATTTATTAATAATTCACAAAAGATCAATATATAATTTACGAAAAGATCAATATATGATTTGCAAAAAGATCAATATATGATTTACATATATGAGATCAATATAATGAGATCAATATATGAGATCAATATATGATTTACGAAAAGATCAATATATGAGAATCAATATATGATTTACGAAAAGATCAATATATGAATCAATATATGAAATCAATATATGAAATCAATATATGAAATCAATATATAATTTAATATATAATTTACGAAAAGGTTAAAAGATCAATTGTATCTTACCATCAAAACGGCAGCTTCTCTAACTTTGTTTGTAGTATCATAATTAAATTTATAATTAAATTTATTACAAGAATTTAATCTATAACGTATAAGTTCAATTGTTTCAGATGAAAAATCCCTTACATCAATCATACTATTATTATTTTTATTATTATTTTTATTATATAAAGTTAAGGTTGTATTACTGGCATAAGAACGACATTGTAAATTTTTTATTAAAGTTGTAGATTTTGTTGAATTGTTTTTCAAGTAAAATGGATTGAAAGGTTTAATAAGCATTTTTAAAATTTATATTAGATCAATGAATGTGTTGAAGTGGGTATTATATAGATGTTGTAGCCCTGATCTTACGTATTTCTTTAGTAAGGGAATTATTTAGTTTGACTTTATGTAGTCTATAGTAATTGACAAGATTGAAATTTGAAAAAAAAAAAAAAAAAAAAAAAAAAAAAAAAACCTTACGACAAAAAGTATTCTATATATATATATAGCCAGTAATTCGCCAAGGGTTGCCACGTGGCTTTAATAGGAATAGCACATGCAATGTCAAATTGTTAAATTTTGTTAGATTAATATAATAATATTCAATCGCATCAATTAGAAACGATTTAAGTTAATGATCAACGGAGAGAACAAGTTTTTAATTATAATAACGTTTCAAAAAAAAAAAAATCAAAATTTTTAATTTTTTAATTTTTTTAAACAAACAAGGAAAAAAATTTCTTTTCTGTTTTTTAATAGGAAAAACTTATGTACATAAAAGGTTTTTATTTTTCGTTATTTATAAAATAAAACAAATATAATATTATTATTAAAAAAACACTGTCGCGAAAAAAAAAAAA